AGTTACATAAGCCAACACATTTTTAAAAATTTAAGCCAGTTTATATCACATTTTCTTTCACTTGCGGTCAAACGATACAACTGATGCAACTTCTACAAAATGCATTTAAAAATAAATTTATTTTGTCCTATGCTCATGGCCAAAGCAGTTGCCCAATTGCTATTTTCTTGTTCAGTTAATCAACAAGTATGTAGTAGGCCCTTGTTACCCGATCAGATGCCACAAAGTTTAAGAAAATTCCTTGTGCTACAGTCTGATTGGCATTCATACTCTCTGTATTTTTCTCTCTCTAGGACTACATCCCATTTACCTTGATAAGTTTTGATTCAGGAATGAGTTGGTTATTTACATCCTGTTCTCAGTTCCAAGTCTTCCTCCCTCTACTCTGCTCTGTTGTGCTAGGGCTGGAATTTGTAAACCTCATTTACCATCCACTCTTGACAGCTTGTTTTCTATTAAGTTCAATAAATGGGAAACCCTAGGTAACTGGAATGTGGTGGGGTGGGGGTGGTGGGGATGTGGATTTCCTTGTTTCCAGTTCTTGAATGTCACTTCTCTAGCAGCAGACAGAAGGAAGTAGCTGCTGTATGCAGTTCTAATATTCAGGTTTCTTTGGCATCTACTTTTTATTCTACTTTCTAATATATTTATAACCAATTACTAATATTAAATCCACTCTACTTTCCTGATTGGATCCTGGCTGATACAGTACTTGATACTAGAAGTGGTCCTAGAAAACAGACTCTCAAAAATGGGATTATGGGGTTGATTTTCTTTGGACTCAGAGCTGAACTCTTTGCCAGTGGAAAATGGGAACTAGCAATCTATGGCATGTAATAGTATTATGATTTCAGCTCAAATCCTCTTCAGAGCATGAGACGGTTTCTAAGGCTTCCCTTAAAGTATTTCTTAGTCCTTTTAGTTACAGGACAGACATGTCTAAAAAAATCAGACCCAAACCAAGCATTTACATATTGGCCTAGTCTCACATGTGAAAGTTGAGGCAGTAATTTGGAAGGAATAGGAGTCTGAGAATAGAAGTGGGAACATTTGGGTGGACTTGGTTGAAGCTAAAAATCTTGAATCCCCCAAGTATTCCTGAGCTTACTTTGATAGTGGAAGAAGACTCTCATTTCCTATTGGGTGATGCTAGGCTTCCTTTGCTTGAAAATCTGTAATAACTTTATATGAGGCAATTTCCTTGCACGGGGATCCCTATGCTTTTAATCTGGATGGGGATCCCATCCAGAGCGTATCCAGTGAACCCATGTTGTATAGGCTCCCTGCCCATTAGTCACTTAGTAGCCATCTCAGTTATCAGATCGACTGTCACGTTCAAATGACCCTTATTTTACTTAATCATGGCCCCAAAGCATAAGAGTAATGGTGCTGGAAATCAGGATATGCCAAACAGAAGCTGTAAAGTGCTTCCTTTAAGTTCAAAGGTAAGTATAGAACAATAAGAAATTTTAAAAGAGAGACCACATTCACATAAATTTTATTACAGTATATTGTTATAATTGTGCTATTTTACTATTAGTTATTGTTGTTAATCTCTTACTGTACCTACTTTATAAATCAGACTTTATCATAGGTATGTATATATAGGAAAAATATATAGTACAGTACATATTGGTATTATCTGTTGTTTCAGGTATCCACTGGAGGTCTTTGAACATATTCCACACAAATAAGTGTGGGCTACTGTATAGTGGTCAGGTAATAAGTAGAGTTTGGACCCAATTCCATCTCATCATGGATCTGTGGCCCATGCAACCATTAAAGATAATAATTAGGAAGACCAGTCAGAAACATACGTAGGTGTGAGCTTATGGTACAACAATAAATTTGAAAAAATGATAGAGAATTACGTGTTATGACTATAGCTGAAATTATGTGCATGTCTGGATGAAGAGTAAATGCTGACAGCAAAAATGAAAATACTTGAGCTTGGATGATATCATAGGTGGTTTTTGTTTGGTCTTTTTCAATTCTTCAAACTCTCCCAAATGCTGTTTTTGCTCCCATTGTAAAAGGTACTTTTTTTTTTAAGACTTAGAACTCATCTATTGGGTTGTCAGAAAAGCCATGACGCATTTTTGCAATGAAAAACATAGAAAAATATGTCATGATTTTTCCGACAACCCAATAGATCTTTTGTTTTAAAGATTGCCATTTATATATACTTTGCAGCCAATCATATTACGGTCATAAAAAGTAAGAATGTCAATTGCAGCCATTCTCCTCAATATTACCATGAGTCTCAGAGCCAATCATGCACGAGGTATCTATCACATACAAGATGCTGCAGGAATGACAAAACCCCACGATCTTCCTGTCTTCCAGGAGTTTACAGTCCGAGGGGGAAATATAACATGTGCTTAAATCTGTATGATTTAAAACTGAGAAAGACAACTGCTTCAGAGAGGAACAAAGAAAGCATTGCTGTGACCAAAGTAAGAGCTCATGTTCAGCTGGAGAAAGTCAGGAAGTAATCACTGGCAGAACTGGCATCTGATGGATGGATAGGATTTTGCCAGGGAGAATTAAGGTCTCAGAAAGGGGGTGTTCTGGGTAGAGGGGACAGTATTAGGCATAACTGAGGACCAGTGAGCCCTTTGACTTTGCTGAAGAATGTGGCATGTACAAGAGAGCCTGTACATGGGGCACAAAACCCATGCTGATACGCATTGGCTGGAAATTCCTTGGAGCATAGCTTACTGCTCCTTTAGGAGAAATATCCTGCAGCACTGATAGTGTCTGGGCACTGCCTATTTAGCAAGGGATAGTGGCTGGTACAGACAGGGATTACCAGTGATACTTGATATTTATCAGGCAGTTTCTGTATGTCACACATGCTAAGTGCCTGATAAAGGAAGGTGCTAAATACCTTCCTTATATTATTTATTTTTTTAGATAAGGAATCTGATTCTCAGTGAGATCAACTGATATATCCAAAGTTGTATAACTCACACATAGTCAAGTTGGGGTTGGAATCTCTGACGACAGAGCCTATACTCCACCCAGCCTCCTATAGTGCCTCTCTGGATAGAGAGTAAGAGTGAAATTAATCCTTAACCAGCAAAAGAGACCACAGGGTGTATGTAACTGGTCAAGTTCCACCTGGTAGGAAATCAGGGCACATTATGGGGTATAATGAATATAATTTCACTGCTCTAGCTTTACCCCTCCCAAACTAAACAGGCAACCTTAACCAAATGTCTTAACCTCTCTGTATCTCAGTTTCCTTATCTTTAAAATGGAGACACAAATAATGCCTTGTTTCAGAAGGTTTTGAAAGAATTCATTTCAATAATATATGTAAAAGGATAAACAATATTAGGCATATAGTAAGTATTTAATATATTATATGTTAGACATTATGGTAGTGTGTTGTAGTATAGAACATTTCTCATAGTAGGACACACTGCCTTATGGCCTTCTTCCCTGAATAAGCCTGAATTTGGAGATACTGGAGCTGGGAATCCCTCTCCCTATTTGATATTCTAAAAAATGCCCCCATCTAGGACCCAAAATGGTGTTATTTTGACAGAAGCCATTATGCTACCGGGTTCTTAACAAACACCACCACCCAAGGATTTATCATGCCAATCACATATCTGGATGGAGGTTGGGCCCAGCATGGTTAGGCTTGCTTTCTCAGAGAGAAGGCATTGACTGCCTGCCCTGATCTCCACAGCATTGGGAGGTGCCGCTTTTCCAGCAGGGATCCTAGACCAACACAGAGGACCTGAGAAACAGCCCTGAGATCCCAGCCTTCCGAAGAGGGTGTCCAAGTGTGCCTGAAAGGCTTTCAAACGTATGGGAGCCAAGTGGCCTGATTGAGTATTAAACTTACTGACACAAATGGGCCCTGGTTGGGCACTTGGCCAAAAGTAAAACATCTGGAGCACTTCGAAGAATAAGCAACTGAGTTTTATTCTTCAAAGGAATGCTTTAATTTGTACAGAGAAATGAGGAACCGAGGCATTATAAAATTTATCTGTTACTTACTTTCATACCCCTTCATTCCCATTAACTCTAAATTCTTCTTAGTCTGAGCACCACTTAAACAGCTTGCTTTAGGCCCACTAACTTCAGACTCTGTTTTACTCGCTAATATACATATTTGGATAGTTGATGAGTGAACTAATGCCCTGAGCTTCACGGTGTCAGCATAGAGACCAGATTTAACATGATTAACCTGTTGCTGCTGCCCCTAGCTACACTCCCCAGCCCCCTTGACCCACATATAAGAGGATCCTACAGGATTTCTATAGTGCCAACAATCAAAGGCCTTGACTAGTGAGTATCACCATATCACAGAGGTAGAAATGGAGCCACTGAAAGGTTAAGTTTAAAGTCATATAGAGGGCCAGGAAAAGAACCTTACTTTGGGGCTTTGACCATTATGGCTACTCATCTGAACTCTTTGCAGACATAGCATATTAGTGTGCCAAGAATTTTAAATGTACATCATTGGTTTCTGACATTAAAAACAAAAAAACAAAAAAACAACACACACAGAATTTTTGGAAGGGAAGATGTAGTTAAAAATAACAAGGGCCGAGTGGCGCGTTTGTTGAGAACTGGCTTGGGATGCCAGAGGGCCCCGGTTCGGATCCCACATATGAGGGCCAGTGACACTGCCCTCTGCAGCTAACATGGTGAGCAGCAGCTCGACCTGGAGCTGGGCTGCCGTGGGTTGCCGGCGACAGTGTAGGCTGCAGTCCCCTGCTGCAGTGGGCTGCCATAAGCTACTGTGTGTAGCCGGCAGCCAGCGTGAGTGGCCATCCAGAAGCCAGCGACTGATGTGCCTCACCCGGGAAGAGCGCAATGATGGTGCCAACTTGGGCCAGTGAAGTAATGTCCTCCACAACTAGACTGAAGAACAAAAGGACAGCAACTTGTCTGTTCCCCTTCCCCCGATTCCCCAGCACTGTTCCCTTTCCCCAATTCCCCAATAAAATCTTAAACCCCCCCCCCAAAAAAAACCCCTCCCATAGCAACAAAACCACCATTCAACATGGTGCCATTACAGGTAAAACAAATGCTTTGAGATTTAGGTCTCACCAAATTACTCAGTGACTTTTCTCCATAATTTGTAGTTAGCCATTCTGTGTCCTTAAATGCTTTCTGTTAATTAGAAAAACTCAACTGCTTTCAAGATCCCAGTAAGCCATAAAACATATCAATTATGGCTTAACTTTGGATATAAAGCCCTGTCTGTGATCTGACAGTCTCAATAGGTTTTTCCAGGACCCAGAGGAAACTATAGATAAAATTAACTCTATTGACAATCTATCCATTTCCATATATGGAAATTTCCACTCATCTCTGCTTCTGGAAAGTTCTTTGGAAATTTAGGGGGAATAATTCCCTTTGTTTTCAGTCTGACAGCATGAAGGAGCCTCAGAACATGCACTGGGGTCCAGGATCCAATGTGGACATTTTCTAAAGTGCAGTGGTGCTTGCTCAGAGCCACAGGCTGCAGAGGTGAGGGCTTGGATCGATGAAGGGTGAGAAGACTGACTTCCTCTCGGCCCGTGCTGCCTAGTCTTGTTGTAGTCTTCAGATTAAAGTGCTGGCTGTACAAAGGCATTTAGAAGGTACAAACAAGTTCTGCAGGCCAAGGGATTCTTTTCCAGAGCCCAGAAGCTTCTTGAGGATGTCCCATCAGGTCATCTAAGCTCCTGAGACCACAGGTTCAAACCTGAGAAGAAAAATCCACAAATAGGAAAATCACTTTTCAGATCAGAAAATATATAACTTCTCAAAAATAGATCAGAGTGAAAAACTACTTTAAAAAGCTCATCTGGGGCCGGCTGAGTGGCGTGTTGGTTAAGAGCTGGCTTGGGACGCCAGAGGGCCCTGGTTCGGATCCCATATACGAGGGCCAGTGACACTGCCCTCTACAGCTAAGATGCTGAACAACAGCTCAACCTGGAGCTGAGCTGCCGTGAGTTGCCAGCGATGGGTAGGCTGCAGCCCCTGTGGCAGTGGGTTGCCATGGGCTACCGTGTCTAGCCAGCAGCCAGTGTGAGCGGCCAGCAGCTGCTGTGAGCGGCCATCCAGAAGCCGACGACTGATCTGCCTCGCCTGGGAAGAGTGCAATGATGGTGCCAACTTGGGCCAGTGAAGCAACGTCCTCCACAACTAGACTGAAGAACCAAAGGACAACAACCCAATTCCCTGGCACTGTTCCCATCCCCTAATTCCCCAATTAAAAAAAAATAATAAATCTTTAAAAAGCTCATCTGTCTTTCTTTCTACCATCTCTACCATAGCCCTCGTCCAAGTCTTCAGCCTCTCTCTCCAGACCTATTGCAAGAGCCTTCATCCCTCCATTTTCTGGGCTGCAGACAGCTCAGTACTACTGGAGCATGACTCATGGGGCTCCCCTATTCAGAACCTTTCATGGTTCCCCATTGCTCCAGATGTTTCTGTTTGTTCCCGCAGACTCATTCTCCACTCTGCTCTATCCCGCTCATGCCCCCAGGAGATTGACAATGTGGACTGGGTCACTGGGCTACCCGCCCCCCCCCCCCCAGCTTCCATTCCATTCTTTCCCTCAGCCTAGGGGAGAAAGGAGATTGCAGTGGGTAGGAGAGTGAGCTTGGGGTATGTATTCCTCAGCAACCTCCCAGAAAGGTTGCAAGTTTACTTAATCCTTCTGTCAAAGGCCATAGCTCCTTGTGGATGGCCCTTTTCCCTTGCTGGTCCCACCAGGGTTCTGCTAGCTGCGGCCTCCCCTTTCCCCTTCAGGCCTAGGGACGGTTAGCTCTTCCCTAACCTTGCTAGTTTCAGGGTGCGCAATATCCCTCCCTGATCTCCCCTAACCCTGTTCATGTCTTTGTAGATACTAAACACTTATACACTTGGCTGCTCACTCCTTCTGAGTATGCCCTGTTTCCTGCTGAGACCTGACTGAGGCACTCATGCCCAGTGAGTAAAATCTAATCTCCTTTGCCTGGAATTCATGGTTCACAATATGGCCCCTGACAGTCTCTTTCCCCTTTTCTCACAGCTGGCTCTTTCCAAACTAGGATCACGTACCTTTTCCTACAGGTGCCTCATGTCTCCCTGACTCTTTGCCTTACCTCCTGTGTCCCCTCTATCTAAAACAGCCTGCTATTTCTGTGTCTGCCTGATTTAAATGTCACCTCCTCCATGAAACCGTTCCTCTTCCCCGGTTATCCCCAGCCTAAATTGATAGTTTCCCCCGCTCCGAACTTTCATGTATTATTTGTGCCTCTTGTAAGCCATAGGTCACTATAAAAATACACTGACTTCTCACACAATTAAAAATTCATGAGCCCAGGTGAGTGAGGCTGTTCATAACTCCTCCTGCCCCTTCCTCCCTCCCAAGGACAGCTGTGCTCTGTTTGGACAGGCCGCTTGAATGTGGAGGGGAATTTCTAGGGATTCTGAGGATAGATCCTTAAGATGGGCTTCAGAACAAGGTGATAATTTGAGAGCTGCATGATTTTTCAAATATGTTTCAAATAGGTACTTTAGAGGTGTTTGCAGGAACCTATGGCAGGATGGTTATATCCCCCACCTGCATTTCACCACTGCTTCAATCAATTTTGTGAGATAACAGAAAAAATATATATGTTGGTCGTTGCCCCTAGTTCCTGATAGAGTTCCTAAAACCCTTGTAATTTTCTAAGTGATAAGAGCACTAGACATATCTTTTGTTCTAATGTTTGGTTTTTCACCCAGGTTCCTGACAAGCTCCTAAATCCCTTGGAATTTCCTGGGTAATAGCAATGTCTTTTGTTCTAATGAGATGACTCTTGGTGGGCTCTTGGATGGGGACTGGTCACCAGAAAGATTGAGCTATGATTAGGAACTTGGATTTTTCAGCCCCATCCCCCATTCTCCAGAGAGGGGTTAAAGATTGGTTGTGCCTACGTGAAAAAGGCTCCATTAAAACCCTCAAATTAGGGGTTAAGAGAGCTTCATACAGAGGTGCTGGGAGAGTGACTCACAGAGAAAGCATGAAAGCACCGAGCCCCTTCCCACACACCTTGCCCTACGCATTTCTTCCATCTAGGTGTTCATCTGTATCCTTTATTATATCCTTTTACAATAAGCTGGTAAACAGTAAGTAAACTGCTGTCCTGAGCTCTAGCAAATTAATGCAATCTAAGGAGGGGATCCTGGGAACCTCAGATTCATAGCCTATTGGTGAGAAGCACAGGTGACAGCCTGGACTTGCCTTTGGCATCGGAAGTGGAGCGGGGGCAGGGAGGGCAGCCTTGTGGTACTGAACTGTACCCCGTGGGATCTCATGTTATCTCCAGGTAGATAGTGTCATGATTGAGTTAAATTGTAGGACACCCAGTTGGGGCTGCAGAAAATTTCTTGGTGGGGGAAACACCCACACACCTGGTGTCAGAAGTGTTGTGAGTGTGGTAGTAAGTGTGAAGGTCAATGACAAACACAGGAAGAGGGCTGAAGTTTTTCCTACTCAGTGTATGTAGGTGTTCTGTGTAATGTTTCCTCTTTAAAGGGGTTATAATGGCAAATAAAGAAAAAAGAAGAGATTGGAAAACACTGGAATAGGAAAGGGGCAAGGAGACACCTCCATGGTGCCATTGTGGAATGCTGAGGGTGTGGTCAGTTGTCAGGTGGAAGTCCTTATGGGGAACACAAGAGGCTCATGTAAAAAATAAAACAACATAGAGATTGGCTCAATTGCAAGGGGGTATACAGAAAGTGGGTCTCTTTTAATTTTAACCCAAACTACGCCAATAAGAACAGTTTTTTGAGTACCTTATCTCCAATACTCAATTGTAAGAATCTTGGATGACTAATGTACTTAATTCACCATTACAATTTCCACACAGCCTACCTGACACAGAGTCTTGAAAATAGCAGACATTTAATACATGTTTGAGTGAATGAATGAATGAATGAATGAATAGTACTTTATTGGCAATCACAAGACCTTTGGTTTTTTTGTCATAATTTCATTCAAGAAAATTGCTTAACATCCCTTAGTCTCAACCTCACCACCTCTAAAATGAGGAAATCAGGTCATATGTTTTGTAAGCTCTAATGAACCACAGCTTGATGACTAGAATATCTCTCTTTTTTAAAAAGATTTTTATTGGGGAATTGGGGGATGGGAACAGCGCTGGGGAATTGGGGGAAGGGGAACAGACAAGTTGCTATCTTTTGCTGTCTCACTGGCCCTCATATGTGGGATCTGAACCGGGTCCCAAGCCAGTTCTTAACCAACGCGCCACTCGGCCAGCCCAGAATATCTCTTTTTAAAGGAAGAATGATATTATATATATATATATATATATATATATATATATATATATATATATATATATATACACCGAAGGTATCAGAATCCACTCCTACAGTTAGACTGGTTGACAGCTTGGTTGCCTACATAAGAGCAAGAAGCCATGGGCCCAACTGGCAACACAAGGGAGCAAGGTTATCTGCAAGAAGAACTTCCACAAATGGAAAGGGCAGTGTGCCATAGACAAGGACTCAGGTGGCCTGGATTCTAGCTCCAGTTCTACCACTAAGTGATAAGATTACCTTGTGTAAGATACCTCATCTCTTACCTCCTTGCAGTATGTATCCATCCCTTTTAGATTGGCTGGGCTAGGAATCTCTGCAAAGCAACTAAGACACTGTATGTGTCTTTGAAAGGGTGTATAGTATTTCCCTCCGTAAAGTTGACAAGGACCCAGTGAAGAGCCCAGTGTAATGCATTTCACTACTGGCATCTAGAGAGGTGAGTAGGGGAATGGTTAAAAGGGCTTCAGAAAGTTAGTTCTTCACCTAACAATCATCCCTGGGTACTTAAAAGTGATACATTGGGACAGTTAAAAATGTATTAAACTAGGGCCGGCCGAGTGGCGCAATGGTTAAGAACTGGCTTGGGATGCCAGAGGGCCCCGGTTCGGATCCCACATATGAGGGCCAGTGAAACTGCCCTCCATAGCTAAGATGCTGAACAACAGCTCGACCTGGAGCTGGGCTGCCGTGAGTTGCCGGCGATGGTGTAGGCTGCAGCCCCTGCGGCAGTGGGTTGCCAAGGGCTACCGTATATAGCCAGCAGCCAGCGTGAGCAGCCAGCAGCCGCAGTGAGTGGCCGTCCAGAAGCCGGCGACTGATCTGCCTCACCCGGGAAGAGTGTAATGATGGTGCCAACTTGGGCCAGTAAAGCAACGTTCTCCACAACTATACTGAAGAATAAAAAGGATAGCAACTTGTCTGTTCTCCTCCCCCAATTCCCCAGCATTGTTCCCATACCCCCAATTCCCCAATAAAAACCTTAAAAAAAATGTATTAAACTACAAAGAAAATTCAGAAAACATAAATGAAGAAAACAATACAAGGTTCCATAACATAAAGCCAGTGATTATGGGCATTTTAATGTTTATACTTCCCTTTTGGGGGGAAAAAGGGAGTATGGTGAGTATGCTAAAAGTACTTTAAAAGTAGACCATTAATATTATTCAACATCAGCTTTGGGAATACAGTGCGGTGGCTGATGTTGAATAATATTGTATGTCAACTATAATTATATATACATATAGTCACGGGACGTGGAGTAGAGTGTGGGAATGGGGTCAATGGACTTGTAATAGATAAGTATGATATCGGGGGTGGGAGGGCAGTGGATGGGGGGAGGGGAGTTGTCACTTTGTGAGGGGTGTAAAGGATAACTATTGCATT